TTCTGGTTGCTGCACAATGGTGGAGGGCGGGATTTCACTTAACTGGGGCTTATTTTTGGGGTAGGGTTTATATTTCGAGCATCCCGAAAAATCATACTAGAGCCTATTTTCAGTTTAGGTCTTATTTTCAGGGAAACAGGATAAGTTTTACTAGCTTTTATGCCTTTTTCATTCCTCTTACTAGGACAGAATTCTGCTAATTGGATTTGCTTGTTCCATTATATTACGTTTTAGTTGTTGACAATGTTTTCCCTGAAATCTCTAGGTCATGATCCAGTTGTTAGTCCCAAATACAGCAGATCCATTGAACTGTCAACTAGTAAGTCAACATATAAATTTCACTGATTTGATGGATCTTCTCTAGTTGGGACTAGTAATTAGCTTTAGGCCTTCGCAGCAAATATGATAACTATTACAGTATAGTTATGGGGCAGCAGGATGGTGTAGAATCTCTGGGTAAACATCAAGAAGAAAAAAAACAAAATGATCTGTTGCAAGTATATAGCAAAGGCAAAGTAAGGCTACATAGGATGGCATTTCTCTCCAAAGTATTTAAATGTGAACAGTGTTCAGGAGTTGGTGATGTAAATGATGCCTACATTATTTCCCAAGCACCCTATCTCTATCTTGACTTTTTCTGCATTCTGGAGTATTTAGATTGTTGATCAGAGTTATTTTTTTAAAAGTGTAAGCTATGTAGTCTTTTTAAAAGCAAAAATTCCTTTGACCCGAAGGAAGCAAATAAATAAATAAACATAGAACAGATATCAGCATCTACAAAGTAGGCATTCCAGTTAAATTCAGTCAGGCAGACCAGAAAATGAAAGAAAACGGTTCTGTGCATATGTCTTTGATGTCAATCTACAGATACGGCATTGCCAAAGAAAATATCTTCTATACACTACACTGATTCAGAATTGCTATATACACACCATCCAGTTAGACAACAAAATCAACAGTTTGCTGCATAGACTGTGAAATCTGAGCACTCAATTTTAAAAAGAGATTGTCTTCTACATGTAAAGACACGCGTTGTCTAGCCAGATGGCAATGCACACAAATAAAATTGCTGTTGTTCTCTTTTAGGTACCTGATGTGTTTTAGCAGCAGCTCAAATTCAGGGGGGAAACCAGCGCAGGTGCTTCCTCAAAACTATGAGCTAATTAGAGTTTGGAAAAGTTACTGCTAGAGATACAACTCCAGAATCTCTGAATTTTCTTTTGAAAAGTATTTGTTATAAGCTAAGAATCTAATAAATGCAATACAAAATAAAAAAATCTGCAGCAGGCAGCAAATACCGACTCCAGGTCTTCATAATTGTGCTGCCTTATAAGGTGACCACTTCTTGTTTGTCACCCAGTTCTGTGAGCTTGAGAGCTCACACGGTGAGATATGCCTTATGATTGGCTGTAAGGAGGCTTACATTTTAAATTCTTAAAGTGGCCTCAAATGATGTTAATTTGGTGGCATTGTGAGGAATTAATTAATATGATTGCTGCCCAACATCAAACGCTGGGATTTGTTTTAAGAGGGCTCAAGGACACGTATCAGTGTTGTGCCCTGCTACGGGTTTGGGGGCCACAGCTGCCACTCAAGGGTGCCACTCTGGATCAAGCCAAGCATTCTGTTTTCAGTTGTTCCTGAGAAATTGGCGGAGTGATTGTCACCTCTTGTTTTGTCATCAGCCTTTGGCCCTTTGGACCTTGACCTTACGAGTGAGTCTCATGCGATATTTAAAGATACACAATCCTGGAAGATTGCTGAATAATGACTGGCCTCTATAGATGTAGAAGGCATGTATGGTAATGTGGGGGTGCCATTTCCAAGGTTGCTAAGCCACATTGTTGTTGTAGTGAGGGCAAACTCTCCTGGATGACGTCACAGCTGCTTCTGGGAGGAGCTGCCACCCATTCTTCTTTCTCACAGGTGATAGAGAGCTTGCTTAAAGACCTCTTCCTAGGCCAATCATAATGGCTTTATGTAACCACTGTCCTCTCTGAACTCTGTCAACTATGAGTTTGTAAGGTTAATAAAAGCACAGTCCTCCCGGGGGGCAGGGCAGAATTCATTCAGTCTTATTCTGCCTCTTCTACTAGTCGCCCATCAGAAGCACTGCTGGCAAACGTCCCTGTGTGTGGCTGACTTCTTTAACTTCTATCTTTAAGAGACTGTTTGCTACCCTAATTACTTGTGATCACAAAGCCCATCAGCCTTCTCATTTCGTGGCTCCAACATGGTATAAATGGGCAAGAGTGTCAGACTAGGAATCGGGAGGCCTGATGGGTTCATATCCCTGGTCAGCTGCCGAAACTCACTAGAGGATTGAAATGGCAAACTGCTCCTTGAATGTCTGACATACTTTGAAAATCATATCAGGGTTGCCATAAGTCAAAAGCAACATGGTGGCATAGAACACCAGATGTAATCTAGGATCACTGATAGAGTTTAAGGCCTTG